CTGAGCTCGCCACAGTTTGTGCCTGTAGCGTTCATCAGAAATGGGACCGCTTACCCTAGCTGTGCTCAGGCTACCATGATTAACGTCGACTCCCAAACTACCCAAACCTCAAACATGCCTTTCCTAGAATGCTCGCCTGGCTCTACACTTCATCTCTTTAGACAGAGGTGGTAGTGATGCAAAGGCGCATCCAGATGGAGATTTCTAAGCACTATTTCTCTTTATATAGCACAAACCCCAAAGTTCTAGGCAAAATAACGAGCCCTACTCCCATCGCCCTCAGTTCCCTTCAAGTACCTTGGACTGTAAGTAGGAGGCAGGGGAAAATTTGTGCAGCTCGTGATTTCTCCATGTTGCAGAGAAGCACAGGACATGCATGTATGTGGGCAGACTTTTTTTACTCTTCCACACTAGCTTTCACAAAAGCATTGTTGAGACCTTTTCTCCTTCATCCTCCAACCACATCTGTTGCTTAGACACCTTGGTCTCCCCACCCACTCCTCCCAGAATTCAAATCCAAAATCTGGTTTGTCCTAGGGAAGAGTTAATACCTTAATAACCAATTATCCTACAACTATTTGATCAGAGTGGATGACCATCAGACTTTGACTCTTAGACTACACTGCCCTTCCTTGCAGTCTTAGTCCAAGCTACACATAAAATGACAGAGGGGAGGAAAAGCCCAGCCTTACAGTGAAAATGGGGTTTGCATTCTGATACAGAGGGTTTGTAACCGCGCACACAAAGAACACTTTGTACATAGATTCAGTTATATTCTTTATTGTTGACACAGTTCTGGAATGTCTTGGTCTCCCTGAGCTGGCAAACAGATGAAAACATCGGTCCGTCCTGTAGTTCTTTCTTTTAAATTCGTAAGAGGAAAACTAACAAGCAGCAGAACAGGCAAGAAGCCATTTCAAAATAGCATCCTAAAGTAAAGAGAGAGTAAGGACAGGGACATAAGATGTCAAGTACCATGACTGAAATGATACAGGAAGAACTTAGGGTGGAATCAGAAAACAAGTTAAACTGCACTCCTGTGCTTCAGACTTGTTCAAGACATCCAGAAACCTACCTTTGTAATGACCCAATCTCAGATATGCCAACATGAAAGCGCCCTGAAAGAGAAGGCTCGTAGTAAGACAGCACGACATCACCGTCAAGTTGGGAGCTGAGAAAAAGCACTGCCTATGTATTTTGCAGGATCCCAAAAACATCACTGGAAAACCGCAAGGGCAAAATGCTACCAGAGTTTATAAAATCCTCAATGACATTCATGACACGTAGGTAACCAAAGAGCTAACCTATTAACCTGTTGCCTATGCAGCTCCTGATCGCCAAGTTACCTCTTCACCCTCCTCCTGCTTCCTAATAGTGTGCTGAACTTCTCCAGGCTCCCAGATGAGGAGTAATCACGGCGCTATTAACGTGACAGTCGGCTGCCTCTTCCTACTTCAGCCGGTCTCACATGGATTCCTTGGCATTAGACTTAAAGCCTCAGATCAAATCATCGAGTTTGTGAGACTTTTTCCAGTATAATTTTTCCAACTGAAAAGCCGAAGGAGCTCTTAGTACACCCATATAATTCCTCTCAGCTCTAGGATTCTTTGGTCGTCTTTGTTCCTACAGCATCCTACTTTCTGAATAATAATCAAAATATTGTAATTAACTGGACACACCTCAGAGCCTGGAAGCAAAGAAAAAGCCTGGGACATCCTGATCTGAAGAGCCCTGCTGCTGTTAATACTGAAGTATTACTAGATTAATTATATTTAAATGGTTAGCTCATGATCTAGCATCTGAAAAGAAAAAAGCATTTTACACACCAGAAAATTCTTGGAAAAATTAGTGCCAGTTAGAATGGGGAGGGGATATTTTGAAAGTAACTTGCAGCATGCTAAAATGGTAACGAGGAAATAGTCAGGGGTAGTCATACTGACTTCGAATATGTTGCAAGATAAAGCCCTTATTTAGTTGGCTAATTTCATGGCATTTTGAAAAACACATTACTCAATTAATGGTTTGATTGAGGAAATACTTTGTGAGTATGCATGAATACATACAAAATGCTCTGAATTTTCCATGTTTTCACCAGAAAAAAGGAACAACAGCTTTTCGATGTGTAATGATAACAATCCCATACTGAGACATTAGCTGAAATAAAAGACAAAATTAAAAGCTGACTGCCCCTCGGAGCCAGCGCACTTTATCCTAAGTCACTTGGCTGCCACAGCGATGCAACCGGCGACTATCCGGGGTGACACAAGGCAGCCATTCTGCTGGAATAAAGACGACTTTCATCTCCGGGTTTCTCCAGCTAGAGTAATGCGATGGTGGCCCGTGACAAACGGGCAGATGGTCTGAGTCCAGTTGTAGGATACCCGCGCCAAAACAGGCTCGCAACTTACATGGGAGCCCTTGAAGTTTTGATGGTTTTTTTTCCTAAGTCATGGCTGAGAAACATTAGCAGTGCAGGACGGAAAGGTTGGTTTTCAGCTCCCGGATCCTCCTACACGTTGTGTGGAGAACTAGAAGATTTTGACCTCAAGTCACCTCGTCCTAGTTTCTAATTCACTTTTATGCAGATGAGAGGACAGGGTATCCAAACTAGCCAATACTTTTCATAAATGAAAATTGCAAGATGTACTCATCTGAGTAACCACAATTGGGTTTGCCTGCAGGATCGGGCTTCTTCTGCATGTAGCAGAGAGTGCATCTCTTTTAATTCACAAGAAGTAAAATGAGAAATACGGATAGAAAGGGGATGTGCTAACTCTCATAAAACATTACTTGAAACTGCAGCGTGCAGCCTTCAGACTGAAATGTCATTTCGAATCATGAGTGTCCCTTTAGACAAAAAAAAGCAAGAACTGAAAGGAGAAAAAGAGCAGTTGGTAAAACACTGCCATCGCTTTTTCATAAATTATACCCCAAAATGTTTCACAAAATTGAGGAATGGAGGAAAACAGAAAAGACCTTTTTTATTTTTGTAGCACATTCCTCTGGCAAATGCAGGATAAAGCCTATCATGTGAGAGTTGAGCAGTAAATGAAGGCCTTATGCTTTATTAAAATTCTCCTATTGTCCCAGGAAGGATGAGAGTCAAACCCCACAGTTTCGGCAGTGCTGTAAGTCTTGTAAATAAAGTTAGCAGGCAGGAATCAGCAGGCTGCTTGCGGGGTGGGGGGGGAAGGGGAGGAGAAAATACTCTTTTTGTACACAAAATTTAGGCTGCTGCATTTCAGACCTGACTTCACTGCGCTGTACCAGAGATTAATTGGACCCACACAATTTAGCAAACAGCGTGTGACATCCATCTACCTTTGCTGCTTCAGCATCCTCCCAAAAATATAGAATGCAGGATTTTAAATAGTATGTTAGCCCAGTTTCCTTTCACAAAGTCTTACAGCGAAGTTTAGGAAAATTCCAAAAGTAGCATATTGATTGCCTCTGGGATTTTCCACTTAGCAATTTAATAGAAAATTACACCCTTACCCAATCTGTGAGGTTTCCATAACCTCCCTCATGAATTTAATTTTCCAGAGTCTAATAAATTTTACCATTAGGCATATTTTCTGATATTGCTTCACCATTAAGCCTATTTCCTGATTTTGCTTTTTTCGGAACCGGGTATACTCCCTGTGTGGCGTTTGGACAGCACCTTGCGTGAGAGAATTCAGGTCTGGCTGTGTCTACGCACACAGTTAGGATACAAATCACTATTGTTAATATTCGATTTGCTTTCCTCTTACTAACCGTATTTCATTATTCCAAGTGATAGGGTCAGTCAATATTACTGGAGCCAATGGGATTCTCCTGGGTACTCTGACGAGACCAAGGGAAGATCTGCATTTGCATCTGTTCAAGTAGGCGTATGCAAGCATCACACACTCTTCTCCTTGTCATAACACAGCCTGACTACACTTAAAACACAAGATGATGATCGGGAGCTCTGTTTTCAGTTATTGGTAGTCATAACTGTAAAAGCCTGGGTCTTTCCTCTACAGGCAACAGGCGAAAGCACTCTCGACTGTAAAAAAAAAAAAAAAAAAGGTACACCACAAACTAATTTAGGCAAAAGCGTTCTTGCCTGTAAGAAAAACGCTACAGCAGAAACGAATGTAGCGCAGTAAGTGAACTGGAAGCGTGGCCAAAGGCATCAAGTGGTAAATAAATCAAAGCCCACGTTTCAACTGTCATTGGGCCATCCATGTGGCTACGGTGACCTCCTGGTGACCACCGGAGGGGTCGTCAGATGCCCCAAATCTGGCTCCTCCGGAGGACTCGAGACTCTCTTCTGCTCACGGCGCTGATCCATGTTTAACTCAGGCGGGTGAAACTCGAAGTCTTTCGGCCCGGCCGGCGGTCCACCGCGCTCCTCCGGGCCTCCGTCCGCGACGCGAGCGGCCCCATC